ACACCACATTCTGCCTTAAAAAATGAGAAAGTAGGGCTGAGGGCATGGCTACAGTGATGGAGTGCCTGCCAAGCAAGCACAGGCCCTCTGTTCAAACCCCGGTACCACAAAGGGAGAGAGTACAAGGGAGTGATCAGATGTGTAAACACCAACAGCAGTGAAAAGGTTAAATTAGAGCAGGAACAAACTAATCCAGGCATGATGGTACAGCCTATAATCCCAGCTTTTGGGAGGCTGAGGTATAAGGATAGCAAGTTTGAGGCCAGCTTGGGCTACATAACAAAACCATTAAAAAAAAAGAGGGGGGAGGAGGAGGAGACTAGAATCATAACAGTAAAAATAATAAGAAACACGAGCAGAATGGTGGAAATAAATTAGAAGACCAAGGCGTTAGGGAATCTCATGCTGGAAGCCGGAGGAAGGAGTTGAGAGAAATCTCAGCTGTGATCTGTGAGTAAGTGTCCTAAACATGAGAGGCAATAGTGTGACTGAACCAAGAAGGGGTCCCAGAAGAATTTAAAAGTTTAGTTTTCAGTTGTGCTGGAGGTGCTCATGGTGTCTGGGGCACCCCACAGAGGGGACCAGAGGGAGAAGTGAGGGAGAAGTGAAGATGGAAGTCTGAGGAAAGACAGAGCAGATACTGGCACCCATGGCAAGGGCCCACGGGAGGGGACGCTGGAGAGTTGAAGCAATGACAATCTACAAGAGCCCCAACGTTTGCCCATGAGATGTGGCCAGACCTGGCCATCAGGACTTCTGTGAGCCAAGTTTGGGTCAGTTCTCATGCTGCAGAAGCTATGTTGCAGGAGGCTGGGAAGTGACTAGAAGGTGACAGAGTGGAGAGGTCTCCTTGAGCAGGTTCAGCAGTGGAGGAAAGACACCTGAGGTCAGATCTGGACATTGCTCAGGTGGGAAGGGCAGAGAGAGGGGCAGGAGGGAGAACTTCTCCCTTGCCACACATGTCCGTTCCTCCTTGTGTCCCAAGACCAGTCGTATGGCGCATCAAACAGATATTCAAGGGATGTAGCAAAAGCTCTAAATTTAGACGGAAGGGACTGGAGACTGAGTCAGAGGTCAGAAGGTGAGGTAATGGTGTTTGCTTATTTCTGTTTTGGAAAGAAACCTCGGTGAATGTTTAAAGCCCTCTACAAATAATTTGAAAAATGTTACCACTATGTAAAGATGATTTATTCTCGGTGCTATGTTTGGATTACCCCTTCTACATTAGAAGAACTAGAAAGTGATAGTTATTACATTACCAAGGCCTTCAGAAACCTCACATGTACAAGCTTGGTTTTGTTTTGTTTTGTTTTTTAAAGGTGGAGGACTAGGTATGTGGCTTAGTGGTAGAGACTCGCTTAGCATGCTACAGTCCCTTGGTGCAATCTCAAGCTCTGCAGGGCGGGCGGGGGTGAGAGAGAGAGAGAGAGAGAGAGAGAGAAAGCCATACAAATAGCTACAGTGTCATTTCTTGTACTCATGCAATGAACATGCAAAAAAAGAGGGAAAAGTGACTGAGACACAGCCTTACTAACAGTCCAAGCCTGATATGACTGATTGCAAATTCATCCCTTAGATGTTGAAAGACAAAAATATTTTTAAGAAGACACACTTACTTCATTCTAATTTCTGTTGGCTTATTATTTTGAAAAGCTGCTTTAATCTTTCTTTGTTATTAAGTAGCATCTGTCTTTAATGCTCCTACAATTAGATAGGCATTATGAGAACATGTCAGCTAAAACTGCTTCTTGGCTATCTCCAGCTCCAGAAAGCAGGCTATTCAATTATTGCATGTGTTTGGAGTTTCTTGCTCAATTATCTCAGTACTAAGTGTGCAACCCTGAATCATATTCTAGGAAAAGTGTATCGTGTCAAGAACACACTAATGTATTTTCACCAGGAATTAATTAGTCTCTAATCTAGGCTTCCTGAAAGGATTCTGATATGGGCAACTTTTTTTAACCAAGGTCATGAGTTCTCTGTAGATGACTATTTTTTTTACCTTGCTGGGGAAGGAGCCCTGAGCCTTGCATTGCTGGGCACAGGACCCCAAGCTACACACCCAGCCCTCTGCAGGTGATTAATTATCCAAACTATAAATTCAAATCCCAGTGTTCTGGAAGTTGCTCAAAATGACAGGTACTAGATCTGTACAACAGACAGAATGTGCCTTTTTTTTTTTTTTTTCAGTTTTTAGGGCCTGAAAGACTAGACAGATAATGCTTTTAAAAAGAGAGTAAGTACACTTCTGAGAACTGTGTGGAATTTTAGAGCTAAATTTAGATCTGAAAGCAGGAACCTCTAACTTAGAGATCTTCTCCAAGTCCCCATCCTATAGATAAGGCAACTGAGGACCAGAGAAGTTAAGTAACTTTTCTGAAAGCCACAGAGCTGGTTTGTCACAAAGCAGAAACTAGAAAGTAGACTTCCTGCCTGCATGGAGTACAGTGTTGCTTCCACTGCCTTCCAGAGACCAAAACCTCTCACACTGACTCAGTGACACACGTAGCATTTTCCTCTGTCGTTTGAGATGAATCATCAGTGGTAGGAGATCAGGGAAAATGTGCTGGTGTATGGGCACACTGGGATTTATATTTCTGGTGCCCGGTCTAGAGTGTCTAAACTATAAGTTCAGTCTTCTAGCAAACACACAGTCCAAGCTGCATCACCTCCCTTGTCTTGGTTCTCAGGTTCTCCATTCAGAGGGTGGGAACCATGCTGGGGTGTGGCTCTGTGGAAGAAATGCTTGCCTAACATACTCCAGTCCCTGGGTTCTATCCCCAGCACCAAAAAAGAAAAGGAGAAGAAGAAAAATTAATTTAAAATGCTGGACCCTAACAACTTAAGGACAGAGAAGTAGAGATGCAGACAGAATAGATTTTTGGGTTTGTTTGGTTTTTTTTTTTTTTGTGGTACTGGGGTTTGAACTCAGGGCCTATACCTGGAGCCACTCCACCAGTCCTTTTTTTTAAGGGTTTTTCGAGATAGGGTCTCTCAGAACTAGTTTCCCAGGCTGGCTTTGAACTGCAATCCTCCTAATCTCTACCTCCTTAGTAGCTAGGATTACACCCGGCTGGATTTGTTCTTTATTTGTAAACCATGATTCACACCCTAGGGGACTCCAACAGATCCAGGTAGCTTCTTGATAGATGAGCATGTAAGCATTCCCCATCCCCTGTGTGCAACTGCAAGGGAAGATCAGAAAGAGTGAGAGGGAGACAAGATTTGGATCAAAAAGTGACAGTTGCTTAAAGATTTCTATCTGAAGCAGTCATGTGCAAAGGCTATATTTACCAAAAGTGTGTAGATATTAAGCTATTGGAATTTAATAGAATACTATTGTAATTTAAAGGAATGCCAGCTGAGAAGCTAGACTCTTCCCTCACTCCAAGCAAGGTTTCTAAGGAAGTAGTTAGTGGTAAAGTTTATTTAGGGTCAACTGAGATGATTTTACAAAGTTGAGACTCAAAGGTACAAGTCAATCTCTTCTCTGGCAAATCTAAATTAAAATTCAGGTGTGGTGGTGCACACTTGTAATCCCAGTACTCATGAGGCTGAGGCAGGGGAGCTCAAGTTCTAAGCCAACCTCAACTACATAGCAAGACCCCATCTCAAAATATAATGAAATGAAATAATAAAATAAAATACACCTGGGGGGGTGTAGCTTAGTGGTAGAGCTTTGCTTAGCGTGTACCAAAAAAATTAAAAATAAATAAACAAAATCCCCAAGCCCTCAGATGGAAATGCTTTCATGCACTGTGTGTTTTACTGTAGAAATTATGCTACCGTCCCTGGGTTCTTTCCTGCATTCAAGAACTGAGTGTCACTGAGCACCTGGGGTAGAAGCGAGTGTGCCCCAGCCTCTCCCCACCAGAAACTGGTCTGGCGAAAGGGAGCCACCTTAAACCTCATCAACAGCACACACCTGGGAAAACAGAGTCCAAAGAGCACCCCAAAGTAGTATTTTACAGGTAGAACTGGTAGGGAGGTAGAAAACCATATATGAGTTGAAAAGTCACAGATTACTATTCATTTTTGCCTAGGGTCTTGCACATGCTAGCAAGTGCTCTACACTGAGCTACACCCCTCCCCACAACGAGCAGATCACTTTTTCCAGGCTTAGCCTCACTCACTCCTCTAAGTGCCTCTTTGCCTTTCTTTCTTTTTGTTTTTCTCTGCTTTTCACTTCCTCACCCAGCAAGAAGCCAGATGTTAGGGATACTGTCTTTCTGACAAACATCACTAAGTGCTAATTTTCCACGGGCAGGGGAGTGAGTACAGCTTTTCTCCACTAAATGTGAAAGTTCTCTCCCTTAATAAATGAAATAAAGCACCGTCCTTGTTTCTTGATAACAGGGGCAAAACAGATCCTACAAAGTCCCTACGAACAAAGCTTGTGCTTGCACCACTTTGAATTCTGCACACACAGTTCCAGACTTTAATTCATGAAATACATGACTCCTTTTGGTGCCTGACCTTATGTCAAGTGCTGGGGTTACCAAGATAAATAAGACAGGGTCCCTGGCCTGTAGGACATCGCTGTATGGTGAAGTAAGTAGGTGTGTAAAGTAAATGCAGTGCAATGTGAAAATTGCTGTCATTGACGTGTGTATGGTGGAGTCTGGGGGTGAGGGAGGGGGAGGAATAATTTTCTGTCCTTGCAAGTCTCACAAAGAAAGTGACATTTGCATTGGGTCTTGAGGAATGAATAGGAGTTGGTCTCAATTATTTCCTGTCTTCCTCCCTTTGCTAAACAAATTCTTTGGCCTTCCTAGCAGGATCATGCATTATGTTTTTTCATAAAGGAAGTGAACAATTTAATTTTTTAGTATGTGCTACTGTGGTAAAATAAAAACATTGGGGGTAGATAGAAACCAGAATGTGGGATGAGTGGAGAGAGGAGGGGCTGTGACCATGGGGACCTGGGCTGGGGAGGGCCGGAGCTCAGGAGGAGCAGTAGTGACTCAGTGATTCATTCTGTCATTCCTCTTCCTCCATAGCCATCAGGTTTGGGCGGATGCCCCAGGCCGAGAAGGAGAAGCTGCTGGCTGAGATCTCCAGTGATATTGACCAGCTGAACCCAGAGTCTGCTGACCTCCGGGCCCTGGCAAAGCACTTATATGACTCATACATGAAGTCCTTCCCGCTGACCAAAGCCAAGGCGAGGGCGATCTTGACAGGAAAGACAACAGACAAATCAGTTAGTTCTCTCCTGCTGTCTTCATTGGGGGTGGGGAGGGGGAGGGGGAGGAGGGGCATTTCCTCTGAGTAAACCATTCGCCATGTTTACACACGCAGAACACTGTTTAGCTGTGGGCTGTTACCATGTCACAGGCCAGGTCTGAAACACAGGAAATGTCTTCAGATAGGAGAGGTAAACATTATTTTGAAAGTGGAATAAACCCCCCAAGCTGTTTTAAAGTCTTGAAGGATAGTGTGAGAATGTACAGGTCATCTTTACTTTAATGAAACACCTCCAAGCCCCCCCATGCTACCGTGCTCTTTTGGGGATCCATCTTTTCTCTTACATGAAAATAACTGGCCACACCCACAGCCCTTGGAGGAGCCTGGCCTAGGTTTGGAAAAGGTGTTGGTGCCCATGCTTTACCTTTCAGAACTCCAGCATTGCCTCTTACAAAGTTCATTATGACCATAAAAGTACCTTCCAGATAGTATAGAGAAGTCCTGTCCTCACAGCACCTACTGTTTATGCCTGGAGAACAGGAAGCTTGATCCTTTCATCTCATAAATGAGTCTTGCCTTCTGCAAGGATCTGAGCTGCCTAGGCTGCACCAGTGATTTTGGAGGGAATTTTGTAGTGCTGGAGAAGGAACCCAGGGCTTCACTCATGCTAGGCATGTGCTCCACTGCTGAACTCCATCCCCAGCCCTCAACTGTCTTAAGACACCTGCAGGTTCAATGAGTGGCGCTGCTTAAAAAACTCAGAATGGGTCTTAACTATCCCTGAGCCAAGTTGTTCAAGAAGCAGACTCTTCCCTGACTGGAAGCTGAGAAACAGCACGGAATGTGTACCATGTACACCTGGATTCTGCCATCAGCTGGCTCGTGTCTCTGTACCTCTGATTTTACAGACAGAGTCTGGCTTTGGTTATAACGTCTGCAGAATGTTCCCGGGCAGTCAGAGCTGCAGAAGACGTTGTCCAGCCCTGTGAAGCCCTGTGTGCAGTGGTGTATTTTCAAGTGAACACCATCTCCACCATCTCTAGGGGAGCTATATGTACCTTTTTGTGTACTCAGACTTTAGGGGAAATCTCTTTACCCTTGATTATATTTTGATGACTATCTTCAAGGTGCTGTTTTTCCTTTTAACTAAACCATTTAGTAAGAGTAAAATCACCTACCCAAACTGTAGGAAAGAGCCACATGCCCGTAAGAAGAGTTGAGTTTTCTACTTGAAAAAGAGATTGATGCCTTCACATAACCTCTCAGCTGGATCCTATTCCTACTGTCTCAAAATATTTTGTGCATTCCTTGCATTCAAGCCACAAGGCCATCTGACCACTGCTATTATTTATGGTTATCCTCTTTTTAAAGACAAGGAAATTGAGGGCCAGAGAGGTTAAACACATTGCCCTAAGAGCCTACAGCAAGCATGTGGAAGAACCAGGACCCTAATGCAGGCTCTCTGCCTTCTGGCTCAGAGCGTTCTTAGTATGGCGGTTCTCAGGACCCCAGTCCTTTGGCTGCTTTCTTCTTGGCTGCTTGAGCTGCTTTACCGTGGTAAGCCTGTGAGCATGCTTTCTATTTGTCAATTTGTAAGGCAACTCATTGTGCCATTCTGATATATTCATAGTCCAGCAATTTTTCTTGTGCTGCTTTGTGTTTGATTCACAGTGAACAGGACTGCTGCCTTCCATGCATGCAGGATGACAGAACAGAAGCAGTAGTCAGGCTTAGTCTGTACTCATTCAGTGGAAACACAGCCAAAGCCTATCAAATAGGATTGCAGACCTGTAATTTGTTTCATTCGCAGGTAGAGCAGTAAAAGGAGAACCACAGCCACGGGAGGAAGGAGAGTTAAGCCTTTGAAGCAAATTGCAACAGCTTACAGTGAGCAGGTGTAGGAGAAGGGGCTGGAGGCGGGGAGATGGCTGGACAGGGAACTGGGGACTAGAGGGGACTTGCTGAAAGGGCAGGAGCCCTGCAGCAAGCAATTCATCTCACGGTTTTGCCCAGAGCCATTTGGGCACTGGCTTCTCACCTTCTCACCTGGCAGTGCACACCTGCAATCCATGCTGGAAATCCTATCACTTAATGGTATCTGAAAGCTAGGAGGAGGACAAAAGACCAAAGAAATAATCCCTAAGAGTCAAGAATTGAGATTTATACCAGGGTGACCAACTCACTCCTATCCGTTCTGAAAGACTCAGGGCCCAAGGCACTGCCTATCCCTTTAAAACCTCATCCTAATTGATTGCTTGGCCCTAACTCTTTGACTTAAAAATAAGATAATTGGAGGCTCTTTCTGGAATAAATAACTATGAAGCTATTTTAAGGGAAAGGGCTACAAAATGCTTGATTAGAAGCTTCTGAGTTCAGAAGCCAAGTGTTTGTCATTTCCCCATAGTAACGAGGTCTATGCTTTGCCCAGAATAGCTACTCAAACCATATTTGCTTAATTGAATTTAAAACTGTTGCTTATGCCCTTTGAAATTCTGGACTTTCAACAGAGGCCTCTTCACTCTCCCAATATTTGTTCATCAAACTGGGCATCAGTGATCGGGGTAGTGACAGAACTGCCTCTAGTTAGGGTCTGGAAAAAGAAACAGAGACTGAGCCAAATTAAAATAATCCATTCGCTGATTACACAAAACTGAAATAGAATTGTTTGGCGCTCTGTTTTCTCCTTATCTTGCAAAATCAAATTAAGCACCAGTGGAAAGAAATAGTTCAGAGAGTAATATGGTGGGGGGGAGGGGGGGGACACAAAATGTGATTTCCAATGAGATTTGTTCTTTATCAGCGTGGTCATATTATTCATTTGATAGCATCTATCTCAGGGGTGTTGTGTTATCTCTTGGCCAAGCCGCAGGAAAGTTAAGAGTTGCTCGATAGGAACAGTTTTGCTGAAGTACGGCCTCTCTGGGGGTGGGGGGGTGTGAGAAAGGCTTAGGGCTCCTCATCCACCCCGCTTGAGGCTGATGTCATTAGCTTTGGTTAGGCCAAGCCTGGGGGAGGCTGTCAGCATAGGGGATGACCAATTACCCAGGATCTCTGGAGAAGGAAATGACTGGACTGAGAGGTCATTCTTAAATTTTATCTCACTGCTTAATTTGACTGTAGCCTATCCTGGACCCACCAGCTGCCTTCTCGGTGTTTGCCTCCAGGCCAATGAGGAGGCCTTTCCCCCTTCCCCAGCCAAACTTCCTTCTTCGGTATCTTACTCCCCAGGGCCACTTGCACCTTTCCAAACTGATAAATTAAATGCTCCTGTTCTCTTCCCATCAACTTCAACTTATCCTTGAGATAAGCTGCCCCTTGCTTTTCAGCGTCTGGCCTAAAAGAATAAGAATTTTAGACTCAGAGCTACAGAATTGCTGCAGAAGTGGCAGGGGTTGGGTGAAAGAAGAGCGGAAGGAGGGGGAAGATTGTCCATGTACTTTGTATACATGTATGAAAATAGAACAAGGAAACCTGTGAAACTGTTTTAAGAAGCAGGGAGGAGGATGAGGGAGAATGATGGAAGGGGCAAATCTAATCAAGATACATTGTAAGCTCATATGTAAATATCACAATGAAATCCCCTGTACAACTAAAAAAGGAAAAAGACACATAAAAAAGTTAGGAGCAATGGGCCTTTTTGTCACCCTCTGACAGGGCGGATCTGATTGTCACCATGTGTGTTTCCCTTTTTGTGGTTAAGGTCCAGCAACAGCCTCTGCTTAAAGAGATCCTACTGACAGCCACAAGTGTGCTGGAAGGAGGGCCTCAGTGGGTTTCACAGAGGCAGTTTGATAACGGAATGGACTTTGGAAGTTCCCTGGTGCGGTGATCACACTGGGTGTATCCCTGTCACATGATCCCATGTTTGTTGATGAAAATAAACAGAATGGTTTTCAAAAACCATTCTCAGTACCATGGTTTGTCATAAAACAATAAATAGGAAAAAAAAAAAAAACTTTGGCGCGCCTGCCAACTCTCCACTCCATATCTAAGAGCTGGTAAAGCCCTGGCTGCACTCTATGTGTAAATAAGAAATAAAACTTCTATTTGTACTCCGCTGGACTTTGGATTCCAAAGCATCACATAGTTTATGACGGATGGGCCCATGTGGAGTCTCCGTTCTTATAATGACAGGAGCAAGTTGGTGCCATCAGGGGAAAAAAAAAAAAGCCATTCTGAATAGTGTGTGAAACATGAAACTACTGAACCATAAAACCAGTGCGCAGTTGTAAACTGTTGTGAAAGTGTGTCTGTACCCACTTAGACCTGTGCGTTCTAAAAGTACAGAGGCCATCAAACTAGTGACTCAGATGACTGCAAAGATAGCTTTGTAAATCCTATACTTAAACTGCTAAGCAACATGTGCTTGCTTTTCCCCGGGTGTGTGGAAAAGCCCAAATGAGGTGGAGTTTGCTTCCCTGAGAGACCCTCAGAGAAGAGTCTTAGGAACCCCTGTAGACAAAGGGCGGGAAGGCAGTGCTGAGTAGCTTCCATGGCTGATGGAGAGTTAGACCCCTGGCATCACTAATTAATATATCAGTATTAATGAAATAAATTCTTTTTTGCAAGGCCATCAGGAACAGGTGAAGAGATGGCATATAAGAACCAGTAGTGTTCTGTCTGGGGTGAGGGTGTAGCTCTGTAGTAGAGTGCTTGCTTCATCACCGGCACCAAATCACCACCATGCGCACAGTTGAGAAGGAAAGCACTTGGCGTTTTTTGTCAATGGTTGGACTTTGTTGGCCAGTGCTCTTGTTTACCCACTAAGTGACTGTTTGGCTGGCACAGATGAAGTTTTAAGAGCTGTGGTTATGTGCTAGTTCATTTGAGTGTGGATAATTCTTACTAGGTTTTCAATTGTTTGTCTTCAATTGCTAAACCACATGCAGAAACAGAATTCCCTCTGACAGACCTTCAAATTTCAGTTCCATCATAAGCAGCTCTCAGCTGGCAGAGCTAGGAAACCCTCCATCGTTCACAAGGTACTACCCCGGCATCCTGGCCTCCAAGAGCTTTGGTTTACAATCCCCTGTTCCTTCCAGAATTGTGATTTTATTGAAAGAGGAAAAGAAGTGGAGAAGCCATGTAGAAAGTAACAGAAGGGAGCAGTTGAGAGGGAGTGCTGGTTCCAGGTCAGGGCTTGGTACAAAGTGCTGTTTCACTTTGGAAAGTCACCTGGCTCCAGAATGATTTCTGAAGACATCTTTAGCTCTATAAATCCCATGAGGAAAACAGGAACCATGGGGCAGAAACAAAAAAGAGGTTGAGGAAACCAAGCCAATGTGTTTGAGGTTGACATTCACCCATCAGAGCTTATGATGGAGAACCATGATCCAGCATCATGACAGCCGCTCAGAAGTGTGAAAGGAAGGAGGAGGCCAGGTGAAGAAGAGGGGTCCTGGGAATTCTGTGTTCTTCCTGGAGAAATCTAAATGCCAGGCGAGCCCCTGGAGATTGACTCTGACAAGGTTACCAGATGATGTTTGTGAGCAGGTGCAGGTGACAAGTACACTCGTGCCCATCTGGCAAATTAGAGGAATCACCCAGAATAACCTTGTTGTAGTGACTCATCTTTTTCATCTGAATCCTTTAGCTTGCTATTTTATTATTCAAAAGGAGCTTAAAATTTAGAACCTTCAGAATCCTTCCTATAACTCAGACATTAAAATGCTGTCATTGAATTAGTAAGGAACATGACAGCTCTATGTCTTCATTCAAAAAGTAAACTTGGCTTGGGTGTAGCTCAGTGGTAGAGGACGTGGTTAGCCTTCATGAAGCCCCAGCACCAAAAAAAAGAGAAAAAAGAAAAAAGTTAACTTTTCCTACTCCGTTTTCATCATTAAATCCATCCCCATCCTCTTCGTGTTCCCACAGGAGGAATGCCATAGATCTATAGCTAATCTATAGAAAACCGTGCCCTTATTCCTGTGCTGGCTTCGACAAGTGGAGCCATTTTGTTTAAATCAAAGTATATCAAAATAAATTATTTTCCATGCATCTCTTCAAAGAAAACTTGATTTCCCATTATAGAGACCGTTTTTCTGCTTCCTCAGAAGAATGCTGTGTTCAAGGGCACCTTTATTCACTCCCTTCTTATCCTTTTCTGATCTACCCAACATCTACAAGATACAGCATCAAAATGGCCCATTTATGCATCAGACTAACCTGAGGCCAAAGACATTTGGGCTTCAAGGCCGCCCCTTGCACAGAGCCCTTTGCGCTGCTCTGGGAGAGGCCCGTGCAATTTTGATCTCATCGTCTGCGTTATTTTTCTTAGGGAAAGCCCCTACAATTGTGTACATTTCAGGCCCCATGAAACCAGCATCCCCCCCCCCCCCGAATATGTCCTAGTTGTAATTACGCTTTCTTTCCTGTTGAGGAGCAATGATTATCTAGCCACTTGATGCAGAATCTGAACACAGCCACACTGCCAGCCCCAAAAGAGAAGTGTAAAGTCATTGAGATGATTTGTGAAGATCACTAGATCACCAAAAGCATCAGGCATACTTGGTTTTGTACAAAATGCAGAAACCTGGCCGTGGCAGTACGGTACATTTTATGTGGCATATGGTACCTGATCCAGACTCACGCTAATGACTTAGCTCTCCAAAGCACCAACCTTTTCACGAGGCTTGAAGACAAAGAGGTGTACGTGAAATGAGAGTTGGTGGCCCAGGGATCCCCTTGCGATTTGATAGATCCACACAGAGGCAGAAAGACTTCTCAAAGACTTCAAAAGTTCAACGACAAAACAGCACGATCAGCTATAACTAGGGAACATGACCAAAAAACTACCTGTGTTCACTTGCATGGCAATACCCAGAATTATCTGCCAGTTTACCACTTTTTCAGAAATGCTGGAAGGGTTTTCACAAAAGCAAAGCTGGCCTGGTTTGGCATGGCGGTGGGGGTGCTGATTCCTTTCTCTGTCCTTGAGCGCTTACTGCCAGGAAATCCTGACCAACGTTAATTGCCGAGGGGTTAAAGTCACATTGTTGTTAAATTGGGAGAGAAAATGAGCAGGATTTTGTGCCCTGTGTTCAACTATGCCAGAGTTTCAAAAACAGGAACCTGGGGCTTTATATGAGAGGACAGGGGAAGTGAGGGGAAGACTGACACGGGTGACGCAGCAGGGCACAGTTCCAGATAAACTGCTTTCACAGAGGTGGAAGGATTTTCTGCACGGGTTCTATGCCAAGAACCCAAATGGTGGAGAAGCTCGCCCAAAAGTTGAAGTGTGCAGTTCTGCGGGCAGTCTTCACTGGGTAAAGAGGTGGCTTGTTGTTCTGTTTTGATTTTTCCATCCTGGGGATGGAAGCCAGGTCTCAAGCATTTCTAGGCGAGCACTGTACCGCTGAGCCACACCCAGCCGAGGTGGAGATGGTTTGCACGTTGCCTGTAGTGGCGCCTGTTTGGTTAGGCTCCTCAGGTGTCCATACCATCACATCCTCATGGCAGTAAAGGAAGCCAATGTTTCTTTAATGCACCTTATATATAAGATGCCTGGAAGACAAGAAAATTATGAAATTTCCCCTGGGTTCTGTACAGGGCATGGCTATCTATCATTCACACTTTTCTTATGATGCAAATCTGATTTTCTGGGAGAAACACTAAATTAGCTGATGTCATTAACTCTGCCCTTCTCTTTTCTTCTCCCATTAAAAATACCAATCCCAAAACAGGGGACAGACAGAATGAAAATGTCTGAGAATCACAGCGAATGCAGTTTGCTCCTAGTTGTGAGGAGCTAGAGCCAGAGGGCAAATCTGCTCTCTTGGGTCCTCACATCTCTCTTCGTTAGGGGCTTGCTGAGCAGTATGGGGGATGTGAATTTGGGGGTAACAAAAGTGTTTCTAGACTAACTCAAGCACATGATGTTGATGTAATGTGCAAGTTTGCAAACCTTTTCACTGTCTAGGATTCTTAGTGTGAGTGTGATCTCCTCCTGTGTAGAACAGACTTCAGAGTTGGGTGAGCATCGTGAACCCCTTAGAGATGCTGGAGTCTCTGGTCAGTGGATCTTAAAGGTGGCCACCACAGCTACTCATGCACACCCCCACCCGCCCTCCCGTCTGCCAGCTGGGAGAGGGTTCTCAGCACCTCTGCTCCAAAGGAACTTTGCTTTCAGAGACCTCATGCTCCATGTACATGCACACATACCTACATGTGCACCCCAATCCTGTACACACAAACACAGATGCGTCACTCCTGAGAAATGTGACTAGCGCTTCCTCCAGAGAAGAAGCCCCAATTTTATCCACTCCCCTCAGTGGAAATATTTGAGGACTAGAGAGTACAAATGACTTTCCCACAGGCCCCAAATTAGAACCCACAAACCCTCAAATCTTACTGCACTGGTGGCGTGGATACACTTATTTGAGCAGTGTTGGGGTCTTAGCCCTTTAGAGAGCTCAGTACTTCCAACATGTGTGAAATGCTAGCCTGTTCCCCATCAGAGTAGCCTTGGGAATTCCACACTGGTCACAAACTTTTGGTTGGTTCTTACACAAGGAAACAGAATTTCATGACCAGCATGGCTTGCTTTTGAAAGCAGCCTATTGCAAACCTGAATGGCTGGTGCATGCATTTTATCGATTAGTTGAGTCATAAGGACAGGTATTTTAAAAAATAAGCTGGGTGTTGGGGATGGAGCTCAGTGGTAGAGCACTTGCCTAGCATGCTCGAGGGCCTGGGTTCCATCCTCAGCACCACAAATAATAAATTCAGAACCATTTTTATTTTGCTGCTTTTTGCAGTGTTTACCCACGGACCGTCTACATCTGCTTTTTCTTTTTTTCTTTTTTCTGAAACAGATGGCTTCCAGAGCATTAAAAAAAAAAAAAAAGAAATAGACATTTTCTTGGCTCGATATTTCTAATCTGCTTTCAGAGTGATTTTTATAGTGAAGTATATTTTATGTGCATACTGTGCTTCATTTGTGATCTGAGTAGATTTAATCTTACACTGAAAGATTACTTCATGTTCAAATGGGTCTTTTCAGACCTGAGTTGCTAAAAAAATTTTTTTATTGAAAGAAGGCTAAAACTATTATCTGAGCACAGATTTTTGTATCATTTTAAAAAAGAAACAAAAATCAGAACGACTAGGTAGACATAGGTAAAACGTGAACAGTGGACGTTGAGGAGAAAGACCAAAATGGGTGAAATGCGTTGGTGTGAATCCTGAAAAGATGAGAGTCTTTGCTCCTGATTAAGTGTCTTCAGCTTTAAGGATTTAGAGGCATAAGAAACGAGTTTTCAGAACCGGGATGGCATTCACAGTGAATGAGAAATCTTCCAACTCAGCCACCTTCTCCCTTTTTCATTTTCAGCCATTTGTCATCTACGACATGAATTCCTTGATGATGGGAGAAGATAAAATCAGGTTCAAACACAACACCCCCCTGCAGGAGCAGAGCAAAGAGGTGGCCATCCGCATCTTCCAGGGCTGCCAGTTTCGCTCTGTGGAAGCTGTGCAAGAGATCACAGAGTATGCCAAAAACATTCCTGGTTTTGTGACCCTTGACCTGAATGACCAAGTAACTCTGCTCAAATATGGCGTGCATGAGATTATCTACACCATGCTGGCCTCCCTGATGAATAAAGATGGGGTGCTTATATCCGAGGGCCAAGGGTTCATGACCAGGGAGTTCCTCAAGAGCCTGCGCAAGCCCTTTGGTGACTTCATGGAGCCCAAGTTCGAGTTCGCTGTGAAGTTCAATGCACTGGAATTAGATGACAGCGATTTGGCAATATTTATAGCTGTCATTATTCTCAGCGGAGGTAAGGGTCATCTTTTAATTTTTATGAAAGTGGATGGGATGGCAGTGGGCTGCCTGAAAGCTTTTTGAGTTTCCTTAGTGTTGGTCTGTGATCCTTTTCACTCTAACTAGACTTTCCATGCAGACAGTACCAGTGGTACAGTGCCATCAGTGTTGTGTCCTTCCCAGATGGCCAATCCAAGTCTTCAGTTCACTTAGGTTGCAGCATGTTAGCTCAGCTTCAGTGGTGTTCGCCCATAGAGAAGGCACAACCAAGAGCTTCAGGGTCCAGTTTGTGCTCCCGCCCCACCATCAGTAAGACGCCACTTTGAATCGCTTTCCCCAGATCAGAGATCAAGGAATGTGTGTGGCTGGCCACTGTTGTCTTTCTCACGTGGATCCCTCCATGTGGGGTGGCTTCCCTAAGTACCTTTGTGAGGTAGTTGGCTCTGATGAAGAATGTAGTCTCAGCTAGGTGCAGTGGCTTATACCTGTAATCCTAGTTACTCAGGAGGTGAAGATCAGGAGGATCATGGTGTTTGAAGCCAACCCAGGAAAAAAGTTCCCAGGAACCCATCTCAACCAACAAAGCAAGGCATGGTGGTGTGCACCTGTCACCCCAACTATGCAGAATGCATAAATAGGAGGCTTGAGGCCCAGGGCCCTGACCTAAACTACGCAAAAAATAAAGCAAGAAGGTCTGAGGGTGTGGCTGAAGTGGTGGGGTGTCTGCCTAGCAAGTGCAAGGCCCTGAGTTCAAACCCAAGTACTGCCAAAAAAAAAAGAGAAAAGAAAAAAGAAGAATGCAGTCTCAACCAAAGAACACACAGCAGAGAAATAATTTGAGTTATTTAACAGTTTATTACATCATCTATCTAAACCAACTCCAAAAGCCAGCTTTCATACCAAATGTCCTCTCAGTAGCCTCACTCATGCTTCCAAGTAGAACCACACTGTACTTTCATCTCTCTATAGAAATTGCTTTTAAATGATAAGCTATCTTTGGAATGGACTGCAGGTGAGCTTTTACATGGACTCTACCCCATGTCCTCTGTTTGTGAACACTCACCTGTGGGTAGATATAACTGTTTAACCACCTCCTGTAAAGAGCACGATGATTCAGTCAAGAGCCTTTTGTCATGCAACTGAAAGCAGAACGCCTCTGAAGTCAGGTGCACAGTGTGGAAGTGACAATGACAATAATAGTCAGTGTTGATGAAGTTCTTGTTACAGCATACACATTCATTTAGTCCTCACAACAACCCAGTGAGCAAGTATGATGTTATAAATGAGGAAACAGAAGCACTGAAAGGTTTATTCACTTCCCAATGTAACACAGCTAGCAAAAGGTGGAGTGGGGAATGGGACCTGCCTCCAGAGTCTGGGCTCTTAGTTTCCGAGCTAATTAAGTGACTTGGGTGCAAGTGGATAGAAGGTATGGCCAGGGCCCTGAGGCCACGAGTTCACTGTCAAGTTGGAACCAAAAAAGGCACTTTAAAATAGCAAATAGCATTTTTTTTTTTTTTGCCATGCTGGAGCGGGACCAAAAGGTCTACCTAGTGTATGCCAGGCAAGCATCTATCCCTGAGAACCCCCAGGCCCCCCAAAGCACCATTTTTAATAGCTATAAAGCATTCCGTTTTATACAGGGACCATTGCGTACCAAATTATCTCCCTCTATATGTTTAAATTGTTTATAATTTCTTTAAAACAGCTGTGGAGAATATTGAAAATGTGTTCTAAATTTTGCTGTAGAGAACATTCCTATGTGTATATTTCTATCCAAATTTCAGATTATTTTCCCACTCTGAATTACCAGAAATGGAATTGCTGGCTGTGAAACATTTTTAAGTTCTTTATTGCATCATTGCAAAATCGCTTCCATAAAGTTCATAGCAGTTTATATCCCGTCACGGAAGGGAAGCGTTTGAAACAAGCCACTCAAAGGTGCTTAGTTTCTAAGAAGGAAAGACGATCCTGAGGGGCTGGGGTGTAGCTCCAACCCTTGCCCAGCATGAGCGAGACCCTGGCTTCTATCCCCAGGTCTGCAGAAAAGAAAAGAAGAAAATTCATTAATTAATCAAGAGATGGCACTATAAATGATGTGACTGGATTTCATTTGATGTTGTAGTTACTGGGCTTAACTCACATGGGTTTATGAGATTGAAAATTGTGCCATTGAAATATAGATGTTATGCAAACGAGTTCCTTCCAGCCTTACCCAACCTGTCTTTGTAAGAGCCATGTCCGATCTCATTGGGTCCCCACAAACATGAGGGAAACCCGAAGGTTGCAGCCTGCACGGATCCTTCAACTCTTTTATCCGTAGTTACAATGAAAAGAAAACTCTGCAAGTAATTTTAAAGGATTTACTGTTGACTTTTTCCTACATCTCAAAAGCTAGCAAAGTTTGCTTTTATAGATGAAGTCCAAATGTAGGCACTAGATGAGAATGAGCAAATGGGACCCGGTGTTTGTCCAGCTCGCAAGATTGTGGCCTCCTCTTTCTCAGAGAAGCTGATTGGACATAGGCCAGATTCAGAGCTGCCCAGCAGCATCCCAGAGAACAGATTCCACCCATGCTTATTAGAGGAAGGCATAAGTTCCCACTTACTTTTTTCCTTCTTATCCTAAAACTCCAGAGAGGGAAAGCTTCACGTAAGCAACAGGCTTTGATCCAGAAAACAAGTGTCTGACCCTACCCCTTCAATAAGGTGATGGTTCTCTGCAGTCAATTCAAAGTCTTTGATGGCTTTAGTGATTTCTGAGAGAAGTGCTCTTAAAGACAGGAACACTGGTGACCTTGTGAGCTAGGCTTAGAATCACAGAAGAGTTTTGCTCTGAGGAAGCACTTGGGACCCCAGACTGAGGGAACAGTGTGGGAGATGGACACCGTGTAACGTGATGAGGGGCTGGGGAGGTTGAGAGGGAGTCCAGGAAGGAGGCCCTTACGGGCCCCAAAGAGGGGATTTTTTAGATGAAAGTAATGATTTGACCAACTCAGTATTTGCTGGGGAAATATTAGCATTGCTACCCTAAGATCAGTGTTGTTCAACTTCGGTCCTAAAAACTGCTGATCCCGTTTGATCTGGCACTTAGATCTGCCCTACGCTGAGCGCCTCTGCCATCCACGCAGTCTCAAAGCCAGCTTGTGGAGAAAGATGACCTAGTTCTCAGAGGCCTCTCCTCTCCTCATGCTCCTCTGTGCTTGGAGCAAGAATGAGACTTACTACAAAGACTAATATCTCAGAACCGAGGTTGGAGGTACCTTTCTAAGAGTGAGTCCTATCCGTGCTCATTAGAGCTTTCTTCTTGTGTCCTAGGAAGAAAAGCGTGAGAGTCACACACTGAAGTGATCTGGCTAAGCTGTCATAACGAGTGAGCAGCAGGAGTAGGATAGAAAGCCAGGTGTCTTAATTGCCACACTCGCTGCCCTGTCCCCTCTGCCTACCTGCTGTGGATTCTGCTCAGCTCACTCACTCCCTCTCTGGTGTTGGTGGCTGCAGCTGGTGTTCCCTTCCCCCACTTCCCCAAGGCCTGAGCCTGGGAGCCAGAGGAGCGCTTCCTCATTCAGTGCAAGTAATAGCTCCCTGTGCTCACTGCTCCCAGTCTCACTGCTGGAGTGGGTAGCATCAGGAGCAATAAAACTGCCTTCAGCAAGGGGGTGTTTGCAACTGGCGCCACAGCCCCAGGCTAGCCTTCTAGCCAACTCCCAGCCCTGCCCAGTGGCCAAAGCCAAGAGTAAAGCTCAAGAAAGTTGACAAGCCCCAGGACACTTTGCCCCCAGGAGTTGTTTGGTGCTGTTTGGTGAAGAAAAGCCTAGGAGGGGTCCAGCTGGAACTCTGCAACAGGAAAAAGCTCTTTCTGTTAATTCAGAACAGTTTGGAATCCATTTCGGTTCTTCCTAAACTTCCAAGATATGAGGGAGGAAATTCACTAGATTTTACAGTGTATTTTTCAGGGCAAGTTGCCATCACTGTCTGAATGACAAAGAAGCTGAAAATGTCACTACAGCTGCCACAGATGGCAAGTCATTCCAGCCTCCCCGCTTACCCTCTGGAGTCTGGCGTGGTTGTGCAAACCACCTGTAGAGCCTCTCTCTGCCTTTGCAACAGTCCCAGCACCATTCTACCTCTGAAGCAGCTGTGACAGCTATTCTTGGTGTGATCAGTTGTTGGGCAGGGAGAATAAGGGAGCAGGATGAATTGTTCCCAGAACCATACACCTGCAGATCAATGATGAGTTGACTATGTCAATTCGATAACACCTCTTTCTATCACGTCAACAACCCGGGGCCTGGATGGCTCACCCATGGATCGTGATCCGATGGATGGATGGACAGATAGATATACTTTTTAATTTGTTGGGACTGAAATAGAATCAAAGCACATCACCTGGGCCAGAATAAGTTAATGCATGCTTCTTGAATGAATAATAGTCTGGAAGGATAATAATTACCACTAGTGGAACACTTCACTGTGTACCAGGATGCATGCTGAGCAGATTACACCCAGTCATAATCTTTGTTTAATCTTTCCTGCAGCTCTGCATGGCCTATTATTATCCCCATTTTGCAGGTAGAGAAAATGGAAATTTACAGAGATTATGTAACTTGCCCAAGGTCACAGAGCTACTAATTGATGAGGCCACCATTCAGCCCCAGGTGTCTGGGGCATTAAAATTAGTACACCTAGGGCTGGGGCTGAGGGTGTGACTCGGTGGTAGAGCACTTGAGTTTAGCATGCTCAAGGCCCTGGGTTCAATCCTCAGCACTGCAAAAAGAAAAGGGGAGAAAACACACCAAACCAGTAGATAGCATTGTCTTTTGTGTGTTGAGAGGCAGAAAGGTCTCAATTGCCTTGGTCTTGGAAGTCTTTGGCAGGTCTCAAAAAATAGTTAGCTTTTTCCACACTGCCTGCAGATATTAAGAATTTCCAGGTTATACTTCAGATACTACTAACGAATATCCAAAGCCCTTCTTAAGACACCATTTTAAGCTGACGGACGTAACAAAATTACTCC